ATCTCTATGCATTTATGGTATGTAAAAATTTACGAAGTACGAAAAAACATTTATATTGTAAAAATGGACAGCATATTCTAGTAAATAAGAACAGGATTTTTTAATCGTATCTCTATGCATTTATGGTATGTAAAAATTTACGAAGTACGAAAAAACATTTATATTGTAAAAAAATGGACAGCATACTCTAGTAAATAAGAACAGGATTTTTTAATCGTATCTATATGCATTTATGGTATGTAAAAATTTACGAAGTACGAAAAAACATTTATATTGTAAAAAAATGGACAGCATACTCTAGTAAATAAGAACAGGATTTTTTAATCGTATCTATATGCATTTATGGTATGTAAAAATTTACGAAGTACGAAAAAACATTTATATTGTAAAAAAATGGACAGCATACTCTAGTAAATAAGAACAGGATTTTTTAATCGTATCTATATGCATTTATGGTATGTAAAAATTTACGAAGTACGAAAAAACATTTATATTGTAAAAAAATGGACAGCATACTCTAGTAAATAAGAACAGGATTTTTTAATCGTATCTATATGCATTTATGGTATGTAAAAATTTACGAAGTACGAAAAAACATTTATATTGTAAAAAAATGGACAGCATACTCTAGTAAATAAGAACAGGATTTTTTAATCGTATCTATATGCATTTATGGTATGTAAAAATTTACGAAGTACGAAAAAACATTTATATTGTAAAAAAATGGACAGCATACTCTAGTAAATAAGAACAGGATTTTTTAATCGTATCTATATGCATTTATGGTATGTAAAAATTTACGAAGTACGAAAAAACATTTATATTGTAAAAAAATGGACAGCATACTCTAGTAAATAAGAACAGGATTTTTTAATCGTATCTATATGCATTTATGGTATGTAAAAATTTACGAAGTACGAAAAAACATTTATATTGTAAAAAAATGGACAGCATACTCTAGTAAATAAGAACAGGATTTTTTAATCGTATCTATATGCATTTATGGTATGTAAAAATTTACGAAGTACGAAAAAACATTTATATTGTAAAAAAATGGACAGCATACTCTAGTAAATAAGAACAGGATTTTTTAATCGTATCTATATGCATTTATGGTATGTAAAAATTTACGAAGTACGAAAAAACATTTATATTGTAAAAAAATGGACAGCATACTCTAGTAAATAAGAACAGGATTTTTTAATCGTATCTATATGCATTTATGGTATGTAAAAATTTACGAAGTACGAAAAAACATTTATATTGTAAAAAAATGGACAGCATACTCTAGTAAATAAGAACAGGATTTTTTAATCGTATCTATATGCATTTATGGTATGTAAAAATTTACGAAGTACGAAAAAACATTTATATTGTAAAAAAATGGACAGCATACTCTAGTAAATAAGAACAGGATTTTTTAATTGCATCTCTATGCATTTATGGTATGTGAAAATTTACGAAGTACGAAAAAACATTTATATTGTAAAAAAATGGACAGCATACTCTAGTAAATAAGAACAGGATTTTTTAATTGCATCTCTATGCATTTATGGTATGTGAAAATTTACGAAGTACGAAAAAACATTTATATTGTAAAAATGGACAGCATATTCTAGTAAATAAGAACAGGATTTTTTAATCGTATCTCTATGCATTTATGGTATGTAAAAATTTACGAAGTACGAAAAAACATTTATATTGTTAAAATATGGACAGCATACTCTAGTAAATAAGAACAGGATTTTTTAATTGCATCTCTATGCATTTATGGTATGTGAAAATTTACGAAGTACGAAAAAACATTTATATTGTAAAAAAATGGACAGCATACTCTAGTAAATAAGAACAGGATTTTTTAATTCAGCGTTGTCACAACGCATTTGCCAATCGACGAAAAAACTCTGTCTCTCATTTGACTGTTTCAGAGATTAAATTGTGTAAATAGGAAATTGCACGTAAGATCCGCAATATACGTATTATAGAGATCGAACGGGGGTTAATAACCGACAGCATATTTCAGTAAATAAGAACAGGATTTTTTAATTCAGCGTTGTCACAACGCATTTGCCAATCGACGAAAAAACTCTGTCTCTCATTTGACTGTTTCAAAGATTAAATTGTTTAAATATATATAGGAAATTGCACGTAAGAACCGCAATTTACGTATTATTAGATATCGAACGGAGGTTAACCGGGCAAGAAAAAGTCGGCTTCCGTCGCCGAAAAACCGAGTCCACCTTGTCGGCGGGTATCCGAGTATCGATTGTGTCTGGGTTTTCATCGTCCCATGTGACTCGCGGAGAGAAAACAGAGAGTGGGGCATCTCACGATATAAAAGAGAACCGGTCTAAGAGGTAATCGTTCCCACTCTATAAACCGTTCTCCATCTCTTCAGTTCACCGTAAGAGTTTCTTCCATTTCTCTTTCCGTGACCGGTAGAACCTCGTTGCCGCTCGTTCTTCCCGATTCACTGTCGTTGTTGCCTATATTCGTGATCGACCCGCCGTGTCAGCTGATCAAGGTAAGGCGATTTCAGTTGACAAATTTTTCATTGTCCTTGCTCTGCGCCGGAGAAACTGCGCTCGTGTCGGACACGGACTGTCGGATCTGCCACGGGGAAGAATTCGTTTTTGCTAACTCATGGTGTCGAGAGTACCGAGACGTTTTCAAAATTATCGCCGAAATTGTTCCCCGAAATTCTCTGTAAACGTTCTACGTTTTGTTGGACCGCCAAGACGAGCAATTGTTTTCTCGAGTCTCGTGACGAACTCAGTGGATGGAATGTAGGGTAGTGAATGTGACATGCGACAACTTTCGACTTGACCGTTTTCGTTGTTCCAGCGAAGGTACAGGGACCGATGTTAGCCATTTTGACAAGTAGTAGTAGCTTCATTAATCGTTTTGGCAAGTAGTAGTACATAGTTTGTTTGATCTCTTTGACAAGTCATAGTAAGTTACTATTTCCAATACTTGGATTTCCTTCAAACTTCGTCAGAATTGTGAGGAACAGTTTATTAAAATAAAGTAGCCCGGCGAAATACATTTGATCAGCTGTCTGTTAATTAATAAATTGTGACATTCGAAGTAATAAGGCACAGGTATAAAAGTGAATATTTTTATTTATTTATGTAGCTACAAGACATCAAATGGAGTAGAAATTATTTCTAATAATAGCAGCGTATCAAATGAAATAAAGCATAGATAGAAAAGTACATATTTCTATACATTTACACAGGATAACAAAAGTATTAGGTATTTTTTCGACAATAAAATAGCAAATGAGTTAAAGTGATTATTATTATTCATAATACGACTTTTGTGTGTTTATATTAAGAAAAATTAGTAAATGAGGTGTAAACTAAGGGAATCAAAAACGTATAAAAATATTGTTAACTTACTTCGCAATAACTAAAATTTAGTGCTCCGTTTAATAATTCTAATTACTGTTGTTTATATAAACATTATAAAATTAGGTATTTCTGTTCATTTGCAAAAACCTGGATAATAAATGAATTAGAAATTGCATCGGACAATGCCAGCAAATAAATTCTAATAATCGTCATTATTGAAGCGAAGCATAAATATATGTATAACTAGACATTACTGTTTATTTGCATAATGTAGGATAACACATGTAAACAACGATTAGGAATAAAAAGCCGTCGAAGAAAGACGTATCATCGCTTCTTACATTTGCGAACTTATTCTGATTATAAATAATTTCCGCAACGCTTCATTGTCACATTAAACTATTTTCAAATATAATATTTTCGTCGTAAAGATCTAGTTTCTAGTATCTATGGCAGCTCTCTGGTCGCATCTGTCATTTCAGTATTTAACTACAAAAAAAACTCATTGCTACATTACAGCGTTACAGGTTTCTTGCTCTCGTCTACGTCAGATCTACTAAATGAGAACTGCGACGGCCGTCTTCTACGATCGATTGTTTCAAAACAGAAAATAAAATCAATGAGATTTGTAAATATTAACATCATTTTTTTTCTTACGAGCTATGAAGAAAGAATCATCTTTAACGTAACCATGACGCTCGCACTATTTTATTACAGCTTTTCTGATGCATAGGTGAACATTTGCAATAGTCACGCACGTAATTAGTCTTCTTTGTCGCCGTCATTATCTACAGCGCATGGACGTGAACTAAAACTTGACATTCTAAATACCTAATCCATCCTTGAAATTGCAACTGGATTAGGAATATTTCATTGCAAGAGAGAATTTTATTTTTTGTTCTTTTTCTGACGAAGGACAATCCTATTTTGTTTACTCTTTTGCGGAATATGAGCCGTTTATTTTGAAAGTGGCATAAGTCGCTTTGTTTTTAAGTCGATATATTTAAGGGTTTGCGTTTTAACACGTTTAAAAATATGGATGCTAACTTTCGAGAAGATTTACTTGTATTTGTTATCTCAGGATACTGATGTTTTTCTCAGTATAAATAATTTCGTATAAACATGAAAAAATCACCACTTTTCATTACGGTAAAGTGACTTATGCCACTTTCAAAATAAACGGCTCATATGAGCTGACAAATCTTATATTATCTTATATACGAAGAACTCGCGAAAATGCAAAATTATGCTTTAAAAAATGTACTGTTCGAATAATATTTTATTCCTCGAAACTTAAAGCTCTTTTTGTTCAAGTTTGAAACCTGAAGACAAGAACTAGACGGAAAGCCTACAGCGTTTATTGAAATCGTTCGCATTGTGTAAGCTTCGAACCTTTTTTCGGAGGACTATCCACTTTCTCCCCGACTTTGAAGCAAATTTAATCATCTTTTAATAACGTAGCAATACAGCATAACCAACAATATAATATTTAATCATTCAACGAGATGAAACAAATAATTTACGAAAAGAGGAAGTTGTCCAATGGATGTTTTTCCCCCGAAAACAGGGGAAGAGATAAGTTTTTATTAACGAATTAAGTATATTTCAATGATCGCTTCAATTTTTTTTAAACATTTGCGAGCGTTTGCGTGCTCAATTAGCTCTACATGAAAAGAAATAATGAACCAAAAACCCTACACAGAATTCCACGTGAAAGGTGTTATATAAAAAAATTGTTTCGTCATTTTCAATGATTAATAATCCACGCGTAACTTGTATAAGACTAGATTGCNAGTCGATATATTTAAGGGTTTGCGTTTTAACACGTTTAAAAATATGGATGCTAACTTTCGAGAAGATTTACTTGTATTTGTTATCTCAGGATACTGATGTTTTTCTCAGTATAAATAATTTCGTATAAACATGAAAAAATCACCACTTTTCATTACGGTAAAGTGACTTATGCCACTTTCAAAATAAACGGCTCATATGAGCTGACAAATCTTATATTATCTTATATACGAAGAACTCGCGAAAATGCAAAATTATGCTTTAAAAAATGTACTGTTCGAATAATATTTTATTCCTCGAAACTTAAAGCTCTTTTTGTTCAAGTTTGAAACCTGAAGACAAGAACTAGACGGAAAGCCTACAGCGTTTATTGAAATCGTTCGCATTGTGTAAGCTTCGAACCTTTTTTCGGAGGACTATCCACTTTCTCCCCGACTTTGAAGCAAATTTAATCATCTTTTAATAACGTAGCAATACAGCATAACCAACAATATAATATTTAATCATTCAACGAGATGAAACAAATAATTTACGAAAAGAGGAAGTTGTCCAATGGATGTTTTTCCCCCGAAAACAGGGGAAGAGATAAGTTTTTATTAACGAATTAAGTATATTTCAATGATCGCTTCAATTTTTTTTAAACATTTGCGAGCGTTTGCGTGCTCAATTAGCTCTACATGAAAAGAAATAATGAACCAAAAACCCTACACAGAATTCCACGTGAAAGGTGTTATATAAAAAAATTGTTTCGTCATTTTCAATGATTAATAATCCACGCGTAACTTGTATAAGACTAGATTGCAAAAGGGGAGTAAGGTACGAAGAACGGTACAAAAATCTCTTTCTTTGGGAACACCATTAGTGTCTGCGCCTTCGAGTCAGATCTACTCGGTGACTTCTCACCTTAACTGTTCTTATTTCTTTTGAACTTTGTACGTCATGACTCTCTTTTTTCACGTCTGCCAGTGACAGCTTTACACAATGGACGCCGACATAGAACTGGAACATTGAAACTGTTCGAACGATGGAACAATCGAAGTTTCACTGCATCTACGAAAAAATAGCACAACTGTTGCATTTTTACGCGACAGGCATTGCAAAAATTGATTCAAGATGAACATAAAACAATGCATAGAATATTATATTATCCGAATACATTACCAGAATTTTATATATATATATATGTATATATATTATATTATTAGAATATTATATTATATTAGAATGAACAATTCGTTTAATTCGTTAATAATTCCACAGAGCTGCGACTAAAAGTAAAATCGCGTAAAGTTTCAGGAAGTTTTAAATAATGGCTGAACTTTTGTAAACTCTGATCCTGGATTTTATGCATTTATGACGAAAATGAGTAAGTCAGATTTGAAACTATGAGAAGATTAAATGAATTTAACGACATCAACGTACCATTTTCTACTTGCTAAAATTATTAAAGAAAGAATGGGATTTCCATTCGTCTTGTGTTTCTTGCAATTGATGTAAGCAATTTTTATTTCGCATGAAGTTCCGCACAGTCTGTTTGTAAGCTCGCGACACCGAGCACGAGTTCGACAGTCTGTCTAGTATTTCACCTGTCGAATTTCCTGTCGATCCACTAAATTCCATTCGGGTATGTCTACCCGTTTCATTACTCCGTCACGTCCGCAAGTCGCCTTTCCATCAGGTTGCCTAATTTCAGGTTTTACCAAGGACTGTCTTTGGTTGTATTCCCGTTTTTTTTTGTGGTGCACGAACCGCGCGCGATTCTTTCTCCGCGAGAAAAACGAGCACGGCGCGGGGCAATGTTAGTTTTTCCTCTCCTGAAAGTCGCCGACGTTTATCAACTTCGAAATGTTCGTAAGCCTTTCTATGAGCGGTACGTTCTAAACGCTGCTTGTCATCGAATTTCATGCTTGTTTCCAATAAGAATGGCACCGCGTGTCCTGATCGTCGCATCGCGAACGTAGGGTCATTTTAATTACAGTTTTGTTACTGTTGTTGCATCTAATTTGTTAGTAGCATTTAATAAAAAAGATACACGATGAAAATGCGGAGTTTTATATTTGCAATACACGTTTAAAAATCGGCAGTATAGTTATTGTTATTGTTATTGTTATAGTTATTGCTAAAATGTAGACAAACGAGATTCGATAGAATTTTTATTTTATTCGCTGCTTGTCCCAGTGAACGACTTTTCTATTTTAAAGATCTATTTTTATGTTTTATAAATCGTAATGAATTTAACGACAACATTGAATCGCTGTGAGCATGAAACTCGAAACAATTTTATTTTATGCGTTACCAATTTGGAATGAAGAAAAATAAACTATTTACATGCGATATTTACGTACGTTTATTTAGACTCAATTAAAGAAACGAAACTGGATTCAAGTTTTATTTTATTCGTTCATCATTTTCGAAAGCTAACATGGATCAATTTTTATATTTATTTCTTCTTTTCCCATAGAAAACGCATCATAAATAGAATTATAAACGTTCTTCTACAATTTAATTTATTTTGATTATTAATAAATAGATTGATATCGTTACTATAGATAAAAATGACAAATCTGTTTCCAAAAATTGACTCGAATCACTCTCGAAATTCAGATTACCAAAACTTATGGGTACCAAGGAAGAAACAGTTGACGTCTCACGGGAACGAGCTTCGCGAAAGAAGTTCTAGAGTACGCGATCGTTAGAAATTTCTAAACCATCTGTGTAAATATTATTGACACAAATTAGAGTGGCCAGCGAACTTTTTTCGATGCGCGCCTAACTTTCATTTCTATGTCCGTCGGGTTGTGGTATTTTGTGTGGAAATGTTTCGTGAGTCATGCATTAGAGCGAGAGGCTTTCGCGTGTCGAAAGTGAGTACGCGGTTGTTAACTCTTTAAAGTAGTGTAAATTCGCGTACGCAACCATTTCAACTATGTTGAGATACAGGTACAATATCGCGAAATATTAAAAATCGTGCTAGTAATTTATCGCGCGTTTATATTTATTCAGCACGTTGTTTAACAGAAGATTTCGTCGGGTTAAAGTTTTACCATAAAAACGGTGCACTTTGCACGGAGAATTTACGCATAGTTTCTGTACCTTTTGTTTCTGTACTTTCACTTTCTACAAGTAACCGAATGTGTCGTCACTAGACCGCGAATTTTTATGCAAACCAAAAATTTTTGAAGACTATCGTAAGAAACCAGAAATGAAATAAAAATAGATTGCTACTTTTAATAATTTTGATAGACTAAAAATAGTGTAACAATATATTATTTAATTCTTCGTACGTCTCCACAATTTCATATTTCAGCTACTCGTTTTTGCCATAAATGCAATTTAAAACAAATTTCTTTGATGAAACTTAATTTACACGACTGTTCGAAGATTTTGATGTTCTACAGATTATCAAATATTAATTATTGATAATAACTCACAGGAAGTTGACATAAATAGGAACGATAAATATCAAATTGGCAAAGGAAGTTCCAAATTCTTGGACAACAGTACGCATATTTCTCGTGTAAAGTATTATAATATTTAAAAATTAATTTCGTTCTAAAGTATAATATTCTCACTAATATGTGCAATAAATTTTACTCTTCATTTATACGATAAATAGAAAACCGATCGAAATACGCTTTATTCTGCTATTAAAATGTTAATATTTTGACTGACGTGTACATTTTCACAAGAAACAGAAAAATAATATAACAACAAAAATAAGAATATTGAATGAAATTTGCTATTTATGCAACAGTGGTACTTCTCGTGTGGAAATAATTTATTATTAGCCCATAAATACTTCGTCCAATTTTGTCAAAAATACATTTAAACGAACGATATTTTATATTATGACAAAAATGCTACTGGACAGGTGAATCTACATCAGAAATTTACATAAATCCGTGCGTCTGAGATAAGTCTCCGTATCACCGAGATGATCTCTAAAAGATCACTCACCTCTGCACTTTCACTAAAGCCTGCGAGTCGCAGGTGCTATGCCGATCATTGAAAGAGGCCGTTTTCTATTCAAATGATACGCGCAAGATCAGATCGGATTAATCGCAGATCGCGGACAAAATCGTGCAAAAATCGTACGCGATCACGCGACGTCACTATATTCGACTCTTTTCTTTCACGAAGTAGTGAAATACAGGTTCCTCTCGGCCAGCCGTGACGAGCCTAGAGAAAGTTTAGCGTTGAGCAAGCTGCTTCTGGTCAGCATTAATTTCTCGCATAAGACCGATGTGTGTAGAATATGCATGTATGTCGACCATTTGCGCAACTTGTTACACTGCGCATTTCGCGTAACACGTGCAACACTGCAACAAAGTATTATGATTACGGTCGAAATTTGAACAGTGATTTCTTGCTAGGAAATTTGATAGTTCGGGAACATTCCGATCTGTATCATGCTATGCAGTTTACGATACGGGAAATCTCGGTCGAAATGTTAGGTAAGTCTTGCGACACCGTCAATGTTTTAATGCGAAAGAATTACTTGGACAATATAGTGCCACTTATATTTTCTTATCAATGAACTGCGGATCTTTCTGCGAAATACAAATTTTGTGCATCGATTGCAATAACCACGAAATGCATAGACATTTATCCCTGCCGAAAAATAATTTTAACGAGTTATAAATAATATAATAATATTATATATAATAATAATATAATAATAATAATATTATATATATAATAATATATATAATATATGTAATATTATATATATATAATAATATATATAATATATATAATATTATTAGATATAATAATCAAAGGTTAAATTCTTCAATTCTTTTAACAATGTTGCTGTTTTCTGTTTCAACTACTCAATTTTATTATAAATGCAAAAAGATCCGCAGTCTATTAAATTAATCAATGAAGGCTTATAACTTTATTTCATTGAATTAGGATTTGTGAGTATTGTTCATTTGATTTGATAATATTCATTGATAACGTGGCATAATAATATATTATTTATGCATACCGATTATTTTGATACGTCATTTTTTAAAATATTATCAATAATATATGATTTATGTATAACGCTTATTTTCATACTGTACTGAAAACACTGTACTGAAAAGAAAACAAGACCTTATGACCAACTATATCTATACATATATCGTGGACTATATCTTGTCAAAATGTCTAGAATTTTACGAATCATTATACTTAAAATGTTTAAAGAGCATTACGAGCCGTTAAAAACTGTCGGATTATTTACCTACAAATTATGGCGGCACTAATGTTTTGCTTCGTTTTGCAAGGAACAATAGACGATCGTACGAATGCTCGATGATTTCGTTGATTATTTTTCACCTGCCGGAAATTCGTAATGAAGTCAGAGACAATGTACTTTCCGATTAATTCCGCAAGAGGTTGTTTCACGTAAGAATATATGTGCCAATCAAATTCGGCTTATTATCTGCCACGAATTAGCTTCATTCTTGGTATCTGAGGAAGATTGTTTGTTTCGTAAGGGCATCGCAATTACCTGTTGATGAGCGATCAAACAACTGTGAAGTACAAGCTGAAATTATAGGCAATTGTTCTACGAATACTGTGGCCGGTAAAAAAACACAGAACCGAATTGAAAACGTGGAAAGAGATTTTTTCATAAAGAATATTTTTCATGTAAAATGTTTCGTGTAATGGTCGTTACAAAAATATCTTTCTTCGATGATAGAAAAAGAAAATTGATCTGCTTACTTTAGAAAATATTATCTTTAAACGCATTTTATAACTGTCTGTAAAATTGCACTAAACTTATTCGGCTTACATATTTTTAGTACTCAATATTGAAAGATTCAAAAAATTGTCTATTGCTTACAACAGTTCGAAATGGTTAGAGTTTTAGAACTGTGAGAATTCCCGAGTATCTCACGAATTCTACGAAAATGTTAACGATACATCGCGAAGCATACGCTTTAGATTAACGTAAATCCACAAAAGAAGCACGCATAGTGATGGACTATGTAAATGAATGAATTTATTCGCAATGTCATTTATGTCTCAGCTGAGTGCAGACGAATGGTCGTTTGCTCGAGTATACTTTGTTAGTCGAGTGGACATTTGGGTTTACAGTGGGGTTCATTTGGTTTACAATGGTAGAAACCCGAGGTACTGGCAAATACATTTCGGTTTTTAACACGTTGAATGCCACGGGGGTCATCGGTGACCGGCACTTAACTTGGCGGTGACGCCATGGGGGCCACCGGTGACCGGCGCGCCCAAATTGATAGAAATATATATAATTTCAAACAAATGTCAATATCTAAAATTTTGTATTATTACCATCGTCGATTCAAACAGTGACCCCTGTCGCAATTAACATGTCAAACATAGTTATACACTGTAACTTATCTATTGCAGATAATATTTCAACATTATATGTATCGCATAAAAGAAAATTCATCGTGACGCCACGGAGAATTTCTGTAAAACCGGCGTGGCATTCAACGTGTTAACACTTTATCGACCGCTAGCCTATTTATCGGCTTTTCGATTGCCAATGTTTATCGATCGCTAGCCTATTAATCGGCTTTTCGATTGCCAATGCTTATCGACCGATAGCCTATTAATCGACTTTTAGCTATCGACGGTTTTCGCTTCTTTACTGTTTTGTTAGTAGCTGACCTCCTGTATGCTGACCTCCCCATATCCTTATGAATTATAATTATAATAATTATATTATTATTTATTATTATTTTTAAAGGAATAAGCACAACACAATGAATAGCGAAAATTGAGCCGGTACTGGGAGCAAATGCGCGCGCGACTAAGCCAGTCCTTACTGAGTGGCAGCCTCAACCACGACCGGACGATAAAGTGTTAAAATAAAATAATCACAGAACATTATGTTTTGATCTCCAAACATAAGTAACATTTCTGGTGCAAGGATATTCTACTTCTTTATTCATGTTCATTCCAGTTTGTAATTAAATGATTCGTTACTAAACTATAAAATTGCTAACGAACTATAATACATAATTGCTAACAAAGCATTCTTCAGATTGCGCGAAACGATATTAGTCGCTAAATTGCAGATTTTACGTATTTGTAAAAAAACCGGATGTGTGAAATATAGAACTATTTTTATTAACATTATCGAACGAAAGAATTCATTTTTTTATTTATTTTCTGTTCCTTACAATTGACTCAGAAAATTTGTATTTCGCTCGAAGTTTCGCAGTCTAATAATTGTACTTACACGTGCATTAATTGTAAAGTCATCCGATTAATGAGTTCAGAGGTTAATAGTAGACATTGATGGGTTTCTAAAACGATTTCAGATGTTGCTGATTCAGCCGTCAGAGGAGATGTCGAAACAGATTCGCGAGGAGTTGAACGAGAACGTAACGACACGCGACAAAGACGTCGAAATCATCAAAGAATGGCTATCCAAACAACCACATTTGCCCAAGTTCGATGGTAATGAAATTTTCAATGTTTTGTCATTTATGAAAAGTATAGTTCCCCAGTCCGCTCTTAGTGTATGTATATCTAGAGACGAACGAATTAACAGCCAATTTATGCTAATATAAATTTTCATCGATTAATTTATAACGTGTAACGCGCAGACAAGAAAATTTAGTGTAAAGTAGAAACGTTCAAATTGTCTCATGAATTTAATACAAATTCTTTTCAGAACATGTTAGTAGACTTTGTTTTAGTTGTTGCTTCGAAGAAAATAGGTCAGAGCTCAACTATTGGTAAACGCATTGACGAGGGTAAATATTCTTTATGTCAATGATTACTACTATTTAGCCGATACATTATTCATCGGTAAGAGAAGCAAATCATTTTTAATACCGATCCACGTTGTTGAGTGTGCTCCTAGGATATGTAAAACCGCGTGTAAAAAGCGCGTTCTGCACGTAAACAGATTAACAAATTAAACATTGCATAATGAAGTTCAGGGAACACATTGCACAATTCGCTATAAATGTCAATGAAGTCTGCACGTACGACACTTGAAACTGAAACGGAAACAGGAAAAACCATTGTCCTTTGAAAAACTACGACTTATGCACTGCTATCGATAGTGCAGATACAGGATGCATGTACATCTATGTGAAGAAATAAGACAAAAATTTGGTATAACATTTTCTTATCCCGGGCTCCGTTTTCGAGAAAGTTGATCTTAACGCTAAACTAAAACTGGCATGTACTGCTTCACAAAAGTGAGAAGACCGAATTTATTTAGAATTTGTAAAGTTTTTATTATAAAACTTGCTCCAATAATATATAATAACTTATTCAAGCGTTTTCCACGAAAGAGTCTCGGAACTTTTGCAGAATTGCAAAATAAGAAAGCGGTCACTTTGACCGCGATAGGTTTAGTGTTAAAGTTCGTCCATCTTTGTAAAAGATTTATTTGTTGTCTATTCCTCTACCGCACAGTTATCTCCGCCTGAGACAGTGTTTACAAATATTAATTGTTGCGAACTAGAGCAGTATAAATGGAATGCTTCCATCATTGTTAGTGTTTGTAAACAGTGTCTTGGACGGAGACACCAGCGGTTTCTACCGCTATCGTACGGCAAATAGATTCTTCAAAATGATTTTTAATTTGACTTATTTTATGGCGAAATTGGATAAAATAAATAAGAACAGTAAAAACTCCAAAGAAAAGAGAATATTTTGATATTATTTTAGAAAACATTGCATTCAATATATAAATTATGAATACATGGAGAAAAGACAAGATTTGTCACTGAAATATAAATATTACCCAGGTTGGAAACTAGAGCGGTAATAAAGACAGTAATGAACGTATTACTTCGTGATTAACTGTTATTAAAACTATTCGGGTCATTGCGACAGCACCAGCCTTAAATTGCACGCGATTCTAATTGCGAAAAAAGATTTAGGTAACGCGTGAAATAGAAGCTGTCCTTTAAGGCGAAGGATATTAATTGAGCGAATCGAAAGTTAGTATGGAAATAGTTTATAAGTTGTGAACGTGTAAATAGAGATT